AGACAAACCTACGGTGGAACGTGGTCCCTGGGGCCCCCATGCACAGCCTGCAGAGGTTGCACGACGCCAAGCCGTGTCGCTGCAGGCGGTCCTGGGTCCAGTGGGTCCCCGAGACCGCCGCCCTGAGAGAATTCTTATGGGTCCTGTCCCAGTCATCGTTTCTCCTGGCGAACAAAAAGTCCAGAGGCTGCCAAAACACAGGCCGACGCCACGACGACGAACCCTCACGAGCCTCCAGGGCACGAAAATCCGACATCTCTCTGGCAGCCTGCTGGGCAAGAGTGGCCACAGTCGACGGCGAGAGCCTGAGCAGGTCTATCTGCTCGCCCGTCGAAAGAACTATGAGGCGCGCCGATCTCGCTTCCCATCCCAGGTCCCCACAAGCAATCACAAACACGTGAGCAGGGGACGTCGCCCTCGACCACGGGCGACTGGTGGTGGCAAGCGATCGAACGGCATCCTCAAAAACTGTCTGTAGAATCGTCATGCTGGGGAGTCCGTCCCAGACAGCCCGAGCCCACTCGAACACAACCTGCTTGAAATACAACGGTACGGGATCCATGGTCCTACCCTGCTTAAACGTGCGGAGTTTTAAACCCACAGACGCCCCCTGCTTCGCAGGAGCCAGAGACAAGAGGGCCTGCGTGCGGATCCTTTTCAACTGAGACCAAGGAAGCCCTCTCACCGAGGCCCCCCACAAAGCTGAGGCCTGAGGCCCCGCCCTCTGGATGTGCCCCACATAGGCCCCAGCGCGCCTCAGAGAGCGGAGGCGCGACGACCTACGCATGCAAGTCTTGACCCTGTTGGAGGCTATGGGGACCAACCTAGAAGAGCTCACTTGCCAATCGGTCCCCAGACTCCTAATCACAGCCTTCTTCTTAAAGGACGCCTTCCACGCACTGGCAAGCCCTTCAGCAACCCCTTTTCGATGAAGCAAGAACCTGTGTTTTTTTCTCCGACAGCACAAGACGCAACCTGCGCAGGCCATCGATCAGCTTGCTCCCGACGCCGCCCAGCTCCCTGACGACGTGGAGGCTCGTGCCGACGGACTGCACGCTGATGTCATCTATCACATTCCTCACCATCGACGTCGGGTGCTCGCTCTCGACCGTGGTGAGCAGACGAAACAGCAGGACTCTCGCCAGGCACGTCGCGAGCGAGCAGCCCGCAAGCACCGTGCCTGAGGCGTGGAAGACCTCGGAGACGCAGCCGCTGAAGGACACCGCACGCGGCCCCGAGTAAAGCGAGCATGCCGCTCTACAGAGCCTGGTCGAGAACTTCACCGCCTCCGCCTCTGCGAACAAAACTGCGTGACATATACGCTCGTAAAACTTATCTAAGTCCGTGGCCAACGTAGCTGACTGCATGCCCCTGCTGCGCGCAAAGTGCGCCATTGTCTGGTGCACCCAGCCAGCTCTATCGCATTCTCGATCTCGCACTCCCCAGAAGACTCCAGCAGCGTGTTGGTCCTCCCAGAGCTTGGCCTCCTCTCGCCGCACCTTGCCCCAGACCCTCAGGATGGAGCAGATGAGGGCGATCGGCCTTACACCCGAGCCGTCAGGTTTGCCCAAGAAGACCATCAGAGTCGGCCATCTGTCCGAGAGCTGCGGGTCGGCCTCCCACATCTCCATGAGGTCCACCAGCCTCTCCATGAAGTCGTCGTCGGGCAGGTCGAAGGAGCGCGGGTTCACGCAGTCCACCCCGCAGCCCACCTGGTGGGGGAAGGAGCGGCATACCGCACGAACTCGCTCAACTGGCGGCCTGGGCAGCTCATCTCTCTGCGCGACTGCTGCCTGGATCTGTGAGATGCTCTCCTTGGCGTCTCCCCAGTACTGCAACCACTCCATGCGCATTGCATGCACGGCAGCATCTCCTTGCAGCGCCCAGCCCTCAGGAGCCACTGGCCCTTTCACCTGCGGCAAGTCCTTCAGGTACCTGTGAGCACGACGGCCACCAGCTTTCACCGCGGACTGGGCCCACTCTCTCCACTCCTGCAGCTGTACCTTTGCCGCCGCCTGGGACGCCTCCAGCGCCGCTTGGTGGACGTTGGTCGCAAGGGTGGCCAGGTCCTCCCCACCCGCTTCCGCAACTCTGCGCAGCGAGTGCAGGTCGAAATCCACGCTCATGACCCCCGTCAGCATCGACAGGTCGAGGTGGTCTAGCTCCTCCAGCAGGCGAAGACGGGCATCGCCTCGGACACGCCCCTTGCGACCATGCTGCCATCCGACCTGGCCCCTGAGACGCTCCCCTGGTTTAATGCCTTGGCCACCTTCACGGCCCAGGGGGTCTGCAGCAACCAGGTCTGTCGACGATTGGACCTCAGCACCTGCCAGCGGCGTCGGCCCCGAGTACGGCGACGTGTAGTCAGGCAGGATAAAGCCCATGGAACTCAGGGAAAGCGACGGACCCTCGGTGCTGAGCCCAGCAACACTGGGCGCCGCCGTCCACTCCCCCGTGTGCTCCTCACGCCGAACGCAGGCCCCACTTGAGCACGTGGAGGACGGCTGAACAACTGCTTCATCGCTGGCCCCAACGGTGTCGTCCTGGAGCGCCTGGAACCTGGATAGAATAGCATCCAGCGACCTCCAGGCTCGCATCTGAGCCCCACTGCCAGAAAGCGCCGCCTTCTCCATCGACACGGCGAGAGGCACCTGCCGCCGCTCGAACCCGTCGGCTCGACCGACGAAGCCTCTCTGCCCAGCACCGACGATGTCGAACTGGTTGCACAGCTCCAGCTCCATGTTGCTTAGCCACTGGCACCACGCATCTTCCAGCCGAACACCTGCGGGAACCCCTGCGGGCCAGGACCAGCAGTGCTCTGCAGGCTTCCGCACAGGCCCCGTCCGCTGGGAAGTGGGGAAGGGCTTCCATGTCCTGCGAACATGCAGCGGCATATTCAGAGTAGGGCCCTTGAGCTGCATGGCAACAGCGACGTGAGGCGACGAAGGGGTACCGTATACCGTGCGTACATCACTGACAAAGTTGGCAAGCCCCTGACTCACGATGTAGTAGTCGATCGTGGACCCTGCCTTGGACGCAAAGCAAGTCGGACCACTTGGGGCCACGATCGTGCCTTTGAGGAGCTCTACCCACTTGCACAGCTTGATATCCTCTGGCGGCAAGTTGAAATCCCCTGCGAGAATCCACGGTGACCTGGACCGACGCAGGAACACTCCCAAATCCTCCAGCATATCCCAAGTAAAAACCTTGTCGGATGCGTCCACAAAACCGTAGACCGAGCCCAGCAGCAGGCCGCGGGGGAAGGCGAAGTTGGCACGAATCAGCTTCAGCCTCGAGAAATAGCCAGACTGCACGCCGAGATGCTTGAGGCTCAATCCTGCGAAAGCGATGTGGGACGCGACTGCCGTCAGAACTCCCCCTGACGACTCCGTGGCGAGCTGACCCGTGGACTTCGCCCTGCCGATGGCCCCGTGGTAGCCTCGAACTCGGAGCCAGCCTGCCGCACTGTGAACTTTGGTGAGATCTTTCAACCGATGTTCCTGTCCAAAACACACATGGGGCCGAGCACTGTCCCCCCAGCTCCTCTGCCAGTCCAAGCAGCCCTGGAAAGAGCTCCAGGCGCTCGAGTTGACAGTCCACAGCCTCCACAGCTGCTGCTCACGCTGTGGCCGTGCCGCCTTGCTAAAGCCCCTGCCCGCGGCGCTTGACCCCAAGGGCCTCCTGGGCTTGCAGAAGCTGCCGCTTGGCGTCCGCCTGGGCTTCGGCACCTTCAGCAGCACGAAGGGCCTCTGCGGCGGCTCGGAACGCCTCCGCTCGAGCTTCGAAGTCGTCCCCGTTGAGCTGCTCCATGTCGATGTCGTCATCTCCCGCGGCCACATCGCCGCCAGGAGGCTCAGCAGCAGCAGGAGGATGATCGGGCCCCCCTTGCGAGGGCCGCCCGATCTTCGCGAGGATGATCGGCTTGAGTATCTCCCACTTATCCGACCCGAGGAATGCCTGAACATCAGGATCCTGTGTCTCCTCCGGCTTGATCTCCAGCTTGAACGTGTCCGACGGCTTCGGCTCCCCGTCCGACTGCGCAATGAGAGCAGCCGTCCTCTTGTACTCCTCGTCGAGCTTATCGATCTCGAGCTTCTTCGCCTCCAACTGCAGCCTGCGCTCGTCAATGGACTCTTGCAGCTTCTGCACCTGCGAGGTCTTCTCCGCGATCTCGGCCTCCATCTTTGCACGGGCCAAGCGGGCCTTGTGCAAGTCCTGGGCCGTCCTGCGATGCGCAATCGCAGGCGTGCGCAGCGCCTTCTGCTGCTCCCTGATGCTCTTGATCTTCTCGATCGTCGCCGCACGGATGGGGTCTTCGTCGGGCCCAGGAAGACTCTTGAGCACCGTCTCGTACTGCCCCAGCAGCGCAGCGAGCTTCTCGCGCTTGACCTTCTCATCGTCCGACTCGAGCAGCGGGCCCATGTCCGACGACGGCTTGGAACCCTGGGCCCACGGAGCAACTGTCGGGCTGGCAGCAGGCGGCGGCTCCCCCTTGCTGCAGAACGACCTGATGAGCTTCTCCATCTCCGCGAGCCTCTTGCTGGTGTCATCCTTGTTTTTGCTCTTCGAAGGAGGCGCCCCCGACTGACCAACAGGCAAGGCAGCGGTCGCCGCCTTGTGGGCCTTCCAGGCCTCGTTCCTGATCCGAAGCGGCGCCTCGTTCCCACACTGACAACGAATGCGAGATGCCCAGTTCGCCGCCGTTGAGCACCTCCCGCACGCCCAGAAGGGCCGCCGCGGCCCACGGAGCACCGTGGGTGAGGGCGGCGGCTCGGGCGCCATCGCTGCACCTTCCTCGTAGTGAAATTCTGCGCTCCCTTGGAGCGACTCACGATCAGCCAAGTTGGCTCGCTGCAGCGGCGCCGTTCTGAAGACAGCTGCAGCAAGCCCAAACACCTGGGCCAGAACGGCTGAGGAGGAGGAGGAGGAGGAGGAGGAGGAGGAGGAGGAGGAGGAGGAGAGGGAGGAGGAGGAGGAGGAGGGGAGGGGGAGGGGGAGGGGGGAGGGGAAGGGGGAGGAGGCTCTTCCTGGGTCTTTTCGTCATGGCGATCTTCGTGCCATCCAACGCTCCTGCTCCAGAGAGGGCAGCGTCACCCCACACCTGCGCAGGTGCTCCCGGTCCTCCTCCGAGGCCGTGTGGCCCCTCGGGCAGCAGAACCACACGACGCTGAAGCGCTGCCCCTCGAAGGGGCTCACCCGGTGCGCCCTCCTTGAAGGGGCCCCAGGACACACAAATCAATACACACAAATAAAAAGATTCCCCATATTTTCTCATATGTTCTGGGCTTTTGTCTTCCCCCCCCCACTTCGCATATTTTCCCATATTCTCCTGGGAGTCGACGATGAATTGTGTCTGTGTGTTTCTTTCCCTCCTGACTCCTGCCGTCGAAGAGGGCCAAGTTCTCTCTGATGTCGATGGCTCGGCGGCGCGCCCGGAGGGAAGCGGGACGGGGGCAGCGTCGGGACTTCTCGGAAGCCCTCGGGCCTTCTGCGGAGCGCTCTGTGCCTGCGGGGAAGGCTCGGGACGCCTCCCCCTCCCCTCCTCCTCATCTTCCTCCTCCTCCTCCTCCTCCTCCTCCTCCTCCTCCTCCTCCTCCTCCTCCTCCTCCTCATCCTCCTCCTCCTCCTCCCAGGACGCCTCTGAGAAGACTGGAGGCCTTCCGAGCCGTCCGAGCAGGCCCGCCGCCTCTGCCTTCCCCCCATGGGCTCGCCGCCGAATGGTGACGGCGTCCCAATCCGGCAATTCGTCAAGCTTTAGAGACCTGTCGTCATTCGGGTAGTAGACCAGGTCGCCGCCGCTGAAGCTGCCGAACGCCTTGATGAAGCTCGGCCCGACGTTGTTACCGTCGCGGTGGAGCTTTGCCGCGTAGTCCTTGTTCACATTGATGGATGTGAATGGGAACTCTGGAACCTCTGGCGGTAAGTGGTCCCTCAGGTACTTCGCCAAGATACTCACAAAGCCAGGATAGTCCGCCGTCCTGCGGGGAACCATCAGCTGTCCGATCTTCGTCCTGACAAGGCCAAGGGTTTCGGATGCCACGGAATCGACTCCTTCGGGTGAGACCGACGGGTACCGATACCGCCACTCCACGGACATCTCCTGGGATGCGTTCTGACCAGACTTTCGAAGCGAATCCAGCCGTGGAGACAAGGGCATACCAGGAGGCCGAAAAAGGCGACAACAAGGGAAGGGTAGCGGTGTTGGTACCGTTTCCTCATTCGACCTTCGGGCATCACGTTGGTCCGCGACGTGTTGTTCTCGAAGTCCCAGAGTCGGAGCACCTCCAGCACGTCGCCGTCGGACACCGTCCGGCCCTCCTCCAACAGCCGACTCGCCCGCTGCTCTGCGCACAGCCGCCGCATCCGCCGGAGGCAGGTTTCGCAGCTGCTCTTGTCCTTTCGGAGGACGCCAACTATACACCTACACCGATCCTGGCCAGGCCCATCCTGGGCCCAGGATCGGCCTGTCCAGGATCGGTGTAGGTGTATACTTGGCGTCCTCCTGTCCTTGGCGACCTCCTCCAGGCTCATCCCCATGATGCGCGCCGCCTCCCGCTTGAACCACCGCTTCATGGCGATGTCGACCGCCGTCAGCTGCGCCCCCTCGCCCTTGCTCAGGAAATTCGGCTCGTCCAGCTCCCCGCCGAGGACCCTGATGAAGCCGCGCTCATAATCCCAGCACCAGTCCGAAGGAGAGGAGCCCAGGGTCAGCGATTCTCCCACCTCACAGAGCGCCAACTGAGCGACGAAAGGAAGCGGGTCTTACGCGAGATGACATGCAGGCCTCGGAAGCAATTAGCGAACACTCATGCCACATGAATCTGTCAATGCCCACCCCCCAAGGATCAATGCTGGCGGTGGGTTGGATGAGTTGCACTTCGACCGCAGTTTCCCACGCGCGTGCCAACTTTGGGTTTTAGGGGGCGGGGGGAGTGTCCACTAATTGTTTCCCCTACCGTAGCGACCTTGAGCCGTGGCTCACGCGGGCCGCCCGCGCGGCACACCACACTGGAAACGAGGGCGCTTACGCGCGGCCTGAAGCGGTCAGCTTACGCGCCACTGTCCACGCAGACGACCCCGTTTTTCTGCGTCGCTCACCTGGCAGGACGCCAACTATCCACCCACACAGACTCTGGCCGGGGCCAGCCGGAGGCCCAGATGGGTGCATACGCCCTGTACTGGCCCAGCCCCCCCCCCAAAAAAAGCATGCGCACACTTCGACCTGGCGGCAAGCACGGGAGGCCAAACCGGGAAGGCGGCCTCTCAAGGAGGCACGCGGCCTTTCAAAAAGGACCGGCCCCACCATGGGTTTTCTGCCATCAGCGGCAACATGCAGCCCACATACACCTCAAGCGGGTGGGCGAAACCCGCAAGGGGAACAAGATAAAGAAGAAGGAGAAGAAGAAGAAGAAGAAGAAAAAGAAGAAGAAGAAGAAGAAGGGCTCAGTCCGACAGATCCTCAGCCAAGCCATGCGCACAGACGAGAGGACCCTCGTCCTCCTCGCGTCGAAGGGAGACAGCAAGCCCGCCACCCCAGACCTTCTGAGGCTGCCCCCTTCAAGGCTGCCCCCCAGAACCCTGCCCCCCATGGATTGTCGCTAATCTGTCCTGGGCCCACCATGGACGTGGCCAGATCGGCACACTTCGAGATCGCGCACCATCGTGAAGACATGCATTACGACGTCGAGCCAAAACACACAACTACAAAAAACAACCCCATCTTCAATACGGAATCCGCCGACCCTGTCGGCGTGTGTGAGGGGCTGTGCCGTTCGTCGTCGCCGTCGTTTCAGTGCTCCAGCGGGCTTGAGGGAAATCGACCCATGTCGTAACTTCCCTTTGTCCCTTCCCCAGCGGAGGGGGAGGGGGGCCCCAGGAGGGTCCCGGGGGGGTCACGGGGGGGTCCCGGGGGGGGTCCTGGGGGGGTCCCGGGGGGTATGGGGGGTCCCGGGGGGGGGTCGCCACCCAGATACGCTTTCACTCCCCGCGTGTCCGGCGCGGTCCCCGCGCGGTTCCGGAACCCCGCGCGGCTTCCCAGTTCCCAAAATGGCCCCTGGAGGCCGAAAATGACGAAAGACTGAACATGTAGAACAACTCCCCCTCCTCCTCCTCCTCCTCCTCCTCCTCCTCCTCCTCCTCCTCCTCCTCCTCTCCTCCTCCTCCTCCTCCTGACTCCTCCTCCTCCTCTATGGTCCTCGTCCTCCTCCTCCTCCTCTTCCTCCTCCTCCTCCTTCTCTTCGTCGTCCTCCTCCTCCTCCTCCATTTTCCTCTCCCCCTCCTCCTATTCCTCCTCCTCCTCCCCTCCTCTCCTCCTCCTCCTCTCCTCCTCCTCCCCTCCTCCTCCTCTCCTCCTCCTCCTCTCCTGCTACTCTGCGGGACTCACGAACCCCAGGCTCGAGGGTGAGGCTTTTGGCGCCGACGGAGCCCTCTCTTCCGGCCACCTCCTGTTCCTCCTCCTCCCCACTCCTCCTCCTTCCTCCTCCTCCTCCTCTCCTCCTCCTCGCTCCTCATTCCTCCTCCTCATCCCCACTCCCATCTCCGCACCCCCCGTCCTATCTCCTCCCTCCCCTTCTCCCTCCTCATCCTCCTCCTCCTCCTCCTCCTCCTCCTCCTCTCCTCCGCCCCCATGGGCCCTTCTAGCAATCTCCAATCCTCCTCCTCCTCTCCTCCTCCCTTTTTTCTTTCCCTCCTCCCCTCCTCTCTCCCCTCTTCTCCTCCTCCTCCCCCCTCCTCTCCTCCTCCTCCCTCTCCCTCCTCCTCTCTCCTCCTCTCCTCCTCCTCCTCCTCCTCCTCCCCCTACTGCCCCCTCCACTTCCCTCTCCTTCTCGCCTCCCTCCTGCTCCTCCTCCTCTCCCTCCCCCCCCCCCCCCTTTTCCCCCCTCCTCCTCTCCTCCTCTCTCCTCCTCCTCCTCCCCCCCCTCCTCCTGCCTCCTCCTCCCTCCCTCCATCCCTCCTCTCCTTCCCTCCTCACTCCCTCCCTCCTCCTCCTCCTCCTCCTCCTCCTTCCCTCCTCCTCATCCTCCTCCTCCTCCTCCTCCTCCTCCTCCTCCTCCTCTGCTCCTACTCTTCTCCCCCTTTTCACTTCTCTTCCTCCTCTCCTCCTCCTCCTCCTCCTCCTCCCCTCCCCCTCCTCCTCCTCCTCCTCCTCTTTCTCCTCCTCTTCCTCCTCCTCCTGTCATTATACATATTAGTATTATTCTCCTCATTCGCATTATTATTGTATATGTTGTCACTCTTAGTATTATATTAGTACTAGTATTATCAGTCTTAGTATTATTATTATTATTATTAATATTATTATTAGTATTATTATTAGTATTATTATTATTACTACTATTACCAATATTATTATTATTAGCATTATTATTATTAATAGTAGTAGTAGTATTGTTATGATTACTAGTATTAGCATTATCATTATTATTAGTAGTATTATTATTGGTATTATTATTCGTATTATTATTATTAATGTTAGTATTAGTATCAGTAGTATTATTATGATTATTAGTAGTAGTATTATTATGATTGCTATTATTATCAGTGTTATCATTAATAGTAGTCTTATTATTACTAGTATTATTAGTAGTATTAGTATTGTTAGCATCCGTAGTATTATTAGCATTCGAAGTATCATTAGTAGTCTTAGTAATATTATTAGTAATAGTACTAGTAGCTTTAATCGTATTGCTATTAGTAGTAGTATTAATATTGGTATTATTACTGATAGTAATAAGAACAATCATAATAGTAGTAGTGCTAGGTTGTTGTTATCATTAGTATGACCGGATGTATTATTAGTGGTATTATCATTCGTATTAGGATTGGTAGTATTAGTGTTACTGCTATTATTATTACTAGTATTACTATTAGTATTATTGTTATTGTATTACAAATAGTACGATTAATAATATTACCACCCGTATTATTATCATTACTATTATTATTATTAATAGTATTATCATTATTAGTATTATTATAGTATTAGTATTATGACTAGTATTATTATTAATATTCGTAATACTGTCATACTGTCATTGTAGGAGTAGTGTGGGTGCTAGTATTAGTAGTAGTAGTGTTAATGATATTAGTAAATAAATTATTAGTGTTATTATTATTATTATTATGAGTATGGTTCGTGTGATTATTCGTAGTAGTAGTACTAGTAGTATTAGTAGTCTTCTTATGTGTCTTAGTATTCTTCTTATCATTCGTATTATTATTATCCGCCTTCTCCTTCTTAGTATTATTCCTATTATTATACTTCTTATTCATATTATTACTATGTTATTAGTATTCTTATTATGGTTCTTCTTCTTTTTCGTCTTCCTCCTCCTCCTCCGCCTCCGCCTCCGCCTCCGCCTCCTCCTCCTCCTCCTCCGCCGCCGCCTCCTCCTCCTCC